CTGTTTTACATAAGATATTGATTGAAAAAAATTATTGTTCATTACTCTGAAATCGAGCTTTTTAAAGTCAGAGCTCAATTTGATGCTTAATAATTGTTAGAAATACATGATCACATGATTTGTGGAAAAAAATTTTCAATAGAGAAAATACTTCGAAGGCACATTTATTGTACTGCATCCGTTATAAGAATCATTGACAAAGGAAATAACTTGTGACCCCGAATTTGCAGCTAGACGTGTGGCAATTCTCACTTGTATGAACGCTTTGTTTTTTAGAATTAGACTTTTTCACTCTTGTCGAATATGTGATTAGAGTTTGTTTTTTTTTTGCTGTAGTAAGATTGTACAAATTAAAATCATAAGAAATGCAAAATAGTTTTTAATTATTTAAATTTCTTGAAATCAAATAGAAAAAAAATTTTTTTTTTTGTTATTAGGAAAACAAAAACATCATCACAAGAAAAAATTTCATTACCTAATACAAATCGTTTTACAAGTCCAATAACAGCATTTCGACGAAAAAAGAAAACATCAAATCATAATAATGATCCCGGTATATTTCTTAATATATCTATATTATATATTTTTCTCTGTAAATCAATATTAAGGTTTTCCTTTCAAAATTGAACATTCACATTTACCACAATTACTTCATTTTACTGATGAAGTTCCTGTACGTTTTATGAATACAATTGTTAATCCAACATCATCATCAACAACAACATCATCATCATCATTATCAACAACAACTCCAAGTGGTTCAATGACAACATTAACAACATCAATGATGAGTAATGTTTCACTTGCACATGGTATTCTTCAACCATTATCAAACATACCATCTGAAACACCACCAACATTACTTCCAAATCTAATACCGATATCTTGTAATAATAAATCACTTGATACAAAAAAGTAGATAAATTAAAAATACAAACAAATCAATTCTTCGATTAATTTCTTTTTTTTTTAGACTTAATCTATTAGATTCATGGAAATGGTCAAAACCGACTCGTGTTAGTATTATAATCAACAAAGAAGATACACTAGATTTTTTGTTTTTTTAGAAAGTCGAACGAAAACCTCTTATAGCTATTCATGCTCCTATGTTAACAACATCAACAATTAATTCATCATCATTTACTGAATCATCTCCATCACCAATTAAACCAACAGATAATTCAATACAAATATCAACACAACAAATAGGTGGAACATCATTACTTATGCATTCTAGTTTTGGTATACATCGTTGTCATTCTGATGATGTTACAAATACATCATATACAACAACAACATTTCGTCCACGTCGTTCAATATCATCAAGTAGTGGTCAACAACAAACACGTCATATTGTTTGTATACATAATAATTATTCACATTCATTATCAAGTCAACAACAAATAACAAATGATGATGATAATAATAATAATCAACAAATAAAACATATAAATCATAATTTATCACAAGAACATGAAGATGATTCATTTGATGATGATGATGAAGATATTTCTAATGAACTTAATTTAGCTGTTGTTGTTGGTAATGAAGATATTCAATCATTAAAAGAATATACAAATGAACAAGTAAATAATGAAAATGGTTCACTTGATGTTGCATTTATTGATGAAACAGATTTAGAACGAAATATAAGTCATAATAAACCAATTTATGATAATAATGATCAAATATTAATACAATCTAATAATATAAATATTGAATTAATAAATATAAAAAATCATGAAAATAAAATTTTATCACAAACAATAATAAATGAAAATAATATATCAATTTTAGTGGAAAAAACATTAAATAAAGATACTGAACTTGATGATATTTTACGACAAAATGAAAATCGTTGTATTCGATTAACAGATTCAGATGTATGTTCAAAAAATTTCTTAAAAATAATAAGAAATATTTCATTTTATATTTATTAGGATGAAGATTATGAAAATTTTCATATTAAAAAAACATCAGTATCAAATACAAATACTAGTAAGATTATATATATATATATTGTAACTCATAAATATAGATGAAAACAAACAAAACTCAATATCTCCAGTCTAGAATCTATGATAATTCTTCTCATTGTAAGCCCTAGAACTCAAAAAACGGAAGAAGCTAATGATGCGCTTGCTAACTTATCATTATAAAGTTCTTTAATGTAAATAATTTACATAATGATTGCTTGATTATATCATAAGTGCTTTTCCTTCTTGAGTTATAGAATTCATAACGAGAAAATTATCATACTTTGCAATTCTGTTTCAATTCAAGCGAATTAAGTCAGACTAGTCTTGTGTATTCTACGTTTCTTATACAACCACATATATTAATATGAACTTTTAAAAATGGTTGAGATCAGAAGAGTGTTTTTAACGGGTCGTTTGAATATTGCTACTTGAAAACATTATTTATTGACGATTTACTTATGAATAATAACTTTGAAGAATCTTCTATCATTGAAAGAAAAAATAGCCTGAAGATATTGAATATATTTATCATCTGTTCATTCAGTATAGTAATTATTTCTTTTTTTTTTTTTTCGTTTGTTCTTGTGTTACAGATGATATGAAATTAACAACACCAAAAATACCAGTTCGTCTTTCTTCATCAATATCAAATTTAGTTTCATCTTCTGACAATATTCTTCCATCATCAATATCTAAAGAACGTTCACATTCATGTTCAATAACTCAAGCATCTAATGGTTTCTTGCATACATTAAATACTAAATCGACATCATTAAATCTTGAAGAGAATGATGAGGTAAACAAATATACCTAATTCACTTTCTTTTGTGTGTAAAATTCGAAGTTGTTTTTTCTTCTTTTTGTTGGACAATAATTCATTTCTTCTCCTTTTCTTTTCTTTTTTTTTTTTGTTTAATCTATATTTAATAAAATGTAAAAAATATCGTTTTTCCTAGACAATGAAAAAAAAAAAAAACAATTTTTCATTTATTTTTGTGTGTACCTTGTTGTTTAGAATGTTAGTCTACACAATAGTGGTCGAGAAAGTATTCTTATACTTAAAGATAAATTAGCTGGTTGTGTACACAAACAAGTACATGCATTTGAACAATGTTCATCAGAAAAAATACATAATCAATCGATTACACCATCAGTAACCTTGAAATTATCATCAAAAGAAAGAAATGAAGATAATAGAAGTAGATTTACTATTCCATTAATGAATATACCTGAACAACGTATTATTGAAGAAGCATTAATAAATGGTAATAAAATTGTTTTATCAGGAACTAGAACTGATCATGTAGCACGTTCAGTAAAACGTTTACAAAATAGTTCAATACGACGATGGAAAAAACGAACAAAAGAATTAGAAAAATGTCATCAATCATCTACACCATATCGTTTATTAAATAAGAAGAAAATTGAAAACAAAAAACTATAATAATAATAATAATTGTTTGAGTCAACAAATGAATTTATTCGATAAAATGCATGAATATCTTTTTTGTTTTTGTGTATTTGTTTCATATTATCTTTTGTTGTATATAATCTTACTTGTAAAATACAAAGAATATCTACTATTTGCAATGAATTAATATCAATGAAAGTTCGATATTTTTTCTTGAATCAACTGTATTCACATATGAAATTTTATCAACAGACTACTTATCAAGTTACAGTTTTCCATAATATATGCATTGTTTACATAATAGCTTTCATCAGAAATTTTCACTAGAGTGAGTTGCAAAAACAGATGTTTGTTACTGTCGAGAGTAGATGCTGGAGCATAGTTCAAAGACAAGTAACATCAAGGCTTGCAACATAATATCAATGGAATGTATGATAGAAAACACAACTATAACTCGATGTCTAGTCTCAAAAAACAAAACAAAAAAGGCAGATGCACTCTAAATTCTTCGAAATAGACAAAGAGATCGTTCTATTAATAAATTCATTTCATGAGCACGACTAATATCTTTTCTCATTACTTTGATAGATATGTTGATTTTTCTTTCGAATGGAATTACCATATGAAATTTGTCTCACAGTCATGATTGACGTATTATTAGGTTAAGCTTTTTAACTATGCGTTTACTGTTCTTTCTTTTTTTTTTGAATAATGAATATAATGAATCATTTTTTTCCCTAAAACTTATTGTGTTTTAAAATATATTTAACATATTTCTAGATAAAAATGATAATCAATACGCTAATATGATTTTTCTCACATCCACACTAAGCGAATCATCTTAACTTGTGTATTCGTTGATGTTTTTTTTCTGATTTAGTAAATTGACTTGTTGAAAAGTAATGAATATATAAATGAAAGTATGCATTGTATGGGTGTAGTTGATTTCTTAATCTTAAAAAATCTTCTTTTTTTCCTTCAACGAAGTTCCAATGTTTTATTGATTTGTTTGCTTGCCGGTTTCTCAAAACATCTTAATCTCTTACCCATAAATCCAGTCAATGTTAGCGAAAATTCATTAACCGATCTTCCTGTAATCCTGGCAATCTCGAAATACTCTTGCATTGTTCTTCAAATAGATCTTTTTTCTCTATCAAATAAATCTAGCATAGAAGCCTTGCAAGACTAGTCATTCGTGTAAATAAAGCAATAAAAAAATTCTCGAGAGAATAGGATAAATAATTTTCATACTTTTACATATTCATAATTAAGGTAATACTTTTGAATTAATATATAAAAATACATCAAAAATAATTCATTCGTTTTATTTAATTCAGCATCATCATGTAACTCTATTTAGTGATCGTCATTAAACACATTTCATTTGTTTTCTTTTTTTGGAACAAGAAAAGATAATAAAATAAATAAATATATATTGATTTCTTTTTCCGAACGATGAGAAGCGTAGTTCACATTCACAATATTTAGATGGAAAAATAGAAGAAAAAGAAAGGAAGGCTGTACATGGTAATACAATAGATTCTTTTTTCGTTGGTATTTCTTCATTAGACTATGTCTATTGAATAAAAAATATAATTCATTTGTTTTGTTTACATGATTGTTTCATCATCACTTCCTAAACGTTTTTGATTATCTTGTTTAAGTAATTGAACATATTTTGCTTTATCTTGGAAGTTATTTGCATGTATTTGTTTAGCAATAGATAATTTACTTTTATTGCCATGTATTGATAATGGAGTTTGTTCAGCATACGATGGTGTTTTTGTTCCATGTAATACTAATGACCATTCAAAAAAATGACCAGTAGTTAATTTTTGACTTTGTTCTTTATCTGTTATTGTTTGATTTTGTAGATTTGTTAATGGTGCATCGGCATTATCATCATTATCAAAACGAATTTCAAGTGTCCATATACCTTGAGCTTTTTCAGCCCATGCATGAGTTGTCATGAATGGCCATTTATAAAAACCTTTAGTTGTATCATCATCTAATGGACGACGGCTTAAAATTAATGACCTAATTAAAAATATTATTTAAAACAAAAAAGAAAAAGCTTATATTGAAAAATTTTCTTTGCTTATTTTACCTTGTACCAAGTGGTGATGTAATAAAAATAACTGTATTACCACGTCGACTACTTTTTAATGTTATAAACGCTTGTACATGTTCGAGATAATTTACTTCATCTTTTGTATTCTTACATGCATCTGTATTTATTGTTAATTTTAAAGAACCTTTTTCAGGTATTGGTCTATTAGTTACAAAAAGAAACTAATAGTATTATGTTTTTTTTCTTATTTCGTCTATCAATATTTACCGTTTTCCTGTTATATTACCAGCAGAACAATGGTATCGAGTTGGTAATGGTTTCCATTCTTTAGCATGTCGAACCATATCACCAGCTAGAAAATGCAAAAAAAACAAAAGAAAAAGATATTTAATATGTTTTTTACAATCAATTTAAAAAGAAGACAAACAAACACACCATCAAGTACACCAAAACCAAATAAATGATTGAATTCTAATCCAGCTCCATTAATATGCCATAAATGTTGTTTTGATGGATCAAAAAGTTGATTACGTTTTGCTGTTAAAACAGTTAAATGTTGAACATCTCTCCATGTTAATTGACGACTAAAACAATAAAAAAAATATTTATGATCAAGAAAATATTTTTACAAATAAAATAAGTCTTTTTCATACTTTGCTTCGAGTGCCAGTGCGAATATACCTGCTGCTTCTGGTGCTGCTGCTGATGTGCCGGAATGTTTTAAAGTACATTGACCATATAGATCAGTTGTTGCAACTCCTAATTAAATTACAAAAAAGAAAAATAATGACAATACTTTATTATTTTTCCTTTTTATAGAAAATTAATTATTGAATTAATGAGTTGAAATAGGAAAAAAACATGTAATATGTTTTTTGTTCTTTCTTTTTTTTTTTAATTTTTGCTTAAACTAACCTGCTTGTGGATCATCACTTCGACCATTACTAAATGTTGAAGCAAGTGTTGATGAACATGATTCATCATAAAGTGCTGTTCGACCATCATTTATTGCTGAATTTATTGATATTGTCCACATGGAAGCAGCATATCCATCACAATTACAATCATCATTAGCTCCACCATCACCACTAGCCCATACATACAATGAACCTTTTAAATAAAAGATAATTACAGGATCTATTAAAATGTAAACTAATGAACTATTTACCAAGGCCACGACGACCCTAGAAATAAAAAAAACAAAATTCATATATACATTTATAGTCATACTTTTTTTTTTATTTAATATGTTATTTACTTCATTAATGCCTTTGACAATAGCTTTCATGGTTGCATGTCGAGGTCCATCGATTGTTTTACCATCATCAACAGGTCCTAAAAGTAGACAAAAGAAAATAATTAATGAATGGAACAAATAGAAAACTAATAAATAAAAACCCCATGATGCTGAATAGATATCAATCATATCTGGTTCATGTGACATTGAATTGGCTTCAATTAGATCTATTAAAAACAAAAAATGAAATTGAAAATTATGTCTTTTTTTTAAATTGATAGCCTATCAGTACCAGTCATGTAAGGTTGATCTAACATTCGAATACCTAGAGAACAAAAATGAACAAAATTCTATGTTTTTTAATTTCGTTTTTTTTAGACATTTATTACCAGCTACCATTGAATCATAAGCAACACCTACACCACAGATGTTATTATTTCGAGCAGCAGCTATTTCACCAGCACAACGTGTACCATGACTACGTAGATTAGATTTATTTTCATATAAATAAGAATAAATTCGATATAATATATATATATATATATTTTCTACCTATTAAACCAATCATCTGTATAACGTGGATATGGATATCGATCATTACTACTGAAATCATAACTAGCTGCTGCATTCTAAAATTTTTTTGTTTTCAAATTAATAACTTTTTCTTGTTTTTTACACTTTTCTATATTAACATACATAATTGTGCATAAGATCAGGATGTGTATAATCAACACCATCATCCATTATTGCTGTAGTTACATTTTTACCTGTATATCCAAGTGCCCAAGCTTCTTCAACATTAAGATCAAGTCGTGGTTTACCACCAGCTTGACCAACATTTTTCTAATTGATTTTTTTTTCTAATATACTTTATTTCATGAATAAGACAGCTATCTTACCAGATACCATTGATATTGAAAAAAAGGATCCGTAGGAGATTGATATTCAGGAAAAGCTTCTTTGAGCTCAGCAGGAGAACGATAACCACGTTTCATGCGAATGTAAGGAATTTGATGAATAGCTCGTTTAACCTGTAGATATATAAAGAATTGTTTGAAAAGGACAAAAACAACAGGAGTTTTATTTACGAGCTCATGGCGTTGAATGAATGCTTCTTGATCAGTATCTCGTTTTTTACGTTTTAGCGGATGTATTGGTTTAAGATCAACAAAATGATATAAATGTTTATCATTCAATACCTATCAATGAAAAACAAATATTATTTGAACTATCTATTCAAATGTGCCCATACTGGTCCACGAGAAACCATAGCATATCGTTTAGCAATACGTTTAGCTGCATCTGGCTCAACATGTTGACGAAATTCAATTAACCAATCTTTCGTAATAACTGGTAATATGGTAGAATGTATAGTTGAAAAAATAAATGTTAATAAACATAAATCGTAATAGAAACCCATTAAATTTGATCGTTTATAAATGCTAATTAATAGTAGGATTAGTTTTATTGTTCCGCTTGTTTTACAAAACTATTATACGCTTCATTCACTTTCGTTTAATGTGGATATCGATTCAACCTTTCGTGACCAAAAAGGAAAAAGGAAAAGAGGGAAGTAGAAATGATGCTACTGTTCTGAAAATAAAAACAATGAATCCAAATGTCTATTGATAGTTAGAGTTGAGCGAAGCCAAGAGCCTATAGCGAATAATTTTTTTCTTTGTCTTCTCTTTCTCTTTTTTCTCTATTTCTCTTCGTATTGTGTTGTTATCGTCATCGTTCATTCGCTCGTTCATGATTGTATGAGAGTCGAATGAGAAACGAGTCGAGAAACGTCTATACTTACGTCGTCATCTTATGCACCAAAGCAACTTTAAAGAGCCCATATAGGAAAAATGAGAAATACGAGTGACATATATATATATATGAGAGCGTGCTAAAAGAGAAAACAGAAGACGATAGAGAAAAAATGCGTTTGTCGCGCTTCTTACTTACCGGAAACAACCGAACTAGCGTCCAAAATACAAAAATATGTGATCTTATTAGTTCTCTTTCTCATAAATATATATTATTTTTTCGCTTCTAACCAAAAAAATAGAGGAACATCCGTTCAAATGAGACGTATAGATTATATATCTAATAAATCGTATCTATCTAATTGTGACGTGATAAAAAAACACGATTCTATAAGAGATTTATAGAAACATAGCACTAATCAAGAATCATATGCGTGCAACGAATATTAGTTGATGGTTTTAGTCTTTTTTCCTGTCATTCTCAATTTTCTATTTTGCATGTATGACATCTGAGAGAAAAAAATCGAACATGAGCTATTTGAGATAGCGTGAAAAAAGAATCAGGAACAAGAAAATTAGTGATGACTAGATTTTATCTTTTATATAAAAGAATAGATGATAAGAGACAAGAGATGCAAAGCTTTTTCATCAGTGTCAAATGATAATAAAAGATTTGATCACAAATGATAGATGAAAACATGAGAACTATAAAATTATATCATAAAAAAAACTGCACTTATCTATTTGTTTTTATATATATATAAAAAAGAAGTATCAAGTTTTCCAAATTGTATTATTACTAAAAATAAAATCTATAAACATTTTATGATATATTTCTTGTAAAAGAAATTTAATTGTCATCATTCTTTAGAATTTCTAATGACATTTCATTTACAATTAATCTAACATTAATTGCTTATTTTCTGAAACTACAAACTAAATTAACAAGTTCCTTCTTTCTTTATTTTTTTCTTCTGCTGTTGACAACTTTGGCAATGATAAAATTACAAAATATTCTCTTTCATTACATTATAATTCAATTTAATACAATTTATATTCCGCGAAATACAGAATAAAACAAAATCTTATTATCAGTTATTTATTAAAAAAAAAATGAAAACATCATCTTGTCTTGATCTTTCAATGTAATAAATAGAAATGTTTTCTAAGAAAAGAAAAATGCATATTTACTATCTTCGTAATTCAAAAGTTATAATAAAGAAAATATGCGAAATTAAAAATTGACGCTTAATATTTCCTCTGAAAAGAAAAAAAAATATAAAGACTAAAATATTCTTATTCTTTTTGACAACAAAACATTTGAGTATTTTATAGACATAGAGTGGAAATAGGTAATTATATTGACGATAGAAGAGTTGCGTTAGAACAATTCATTGAATCATTGAAAAATGAATTTTTAATAGGAAATCTTTACTAAATGCAAATCTTTTTTTAGTTTCTTTTAGAAAAAATGTTTTCAAGAATTAACAACAATTATGATTCTACATAAATTGCGTATCAAAAGTACTTTTTCAAAAAAATAATGTTCTATATTAAAAGGTTAAACTGATCTTTATATACTAAATTAAACACATAGTGCTGTAAAGAAGAAAAATCAAAGTTCAATCAATCGCAGAATATTTTTGCTCTATGATTTCCACTTGTTATTTTCAATAACGATATAATTAGTATTAAATTTTATGTACTCGGGTCTTTTCTTTTTCTTTTTTTGTATTATCTTGGATTACCATTTTAAGAAGTTTTAATCTAATATTTATAAAACAGAAAAAAAAACAAAAATCTTAGTTGATCTTTGATATGTTATTAAACATGAAAAGAAAATGGAAACATCTCATTATCTGATATATGACAAGACTGATTGAGTGCGACATCAATGTTCATAGATACAAGATACAACGAATTTAATTAACTGGTGTTATTTTTTGAACCATTCTAAAAATAGTTATTCGACAAAAACAGCCAGTGATCGATGATCGAAATAAACAGAATACACATGATGAATATGTTTTTTTTTCTTTGTTTTCTTTTCTCATCTGATTCTATTTTCAAAGCGAAATCAAAAAATTATTTTTTCATGTCTGCTTCATTAATTCGTGCAGTAGTACGACATGTCTATAGTATAGAATCATTTACATATAGCATATGTCGTCTCTCTCATTATTATTAATCTGACTTTTGTTTTTGGCTACTAATTAAATTCTATGAGGTGATGTTTACAACACGAATACAGAATCAAATTAATTTTTATAGAAAAATTTTATTAATTTAGAAGTGAGCTGCTAATAATTTGAACATCGAAAAAAACAAAAATATTTTTCTTCATATGGTAACATGGGACTTGTTGAACTCAATAAGAAAGTAAATTAGAAAAAAAAAGCATTGTTTCAAATCTTGTCTTTAGAATAAAACTTATTAAGAAACAATTATGAAAATCAACATGATAGATTGTGCATTCTCTTGTTCTGTATGGAGAAAATTGGCTCAATTTTTTAATACAAAAAGATTATTCTGAATGTTTCTTTTGTACTCTAAAAGATCGAAACAGCAATTTTGAGACTCGGCATGTAATGTTGCATCTAGCAACATGAATTAATCTATGCTCCTAGATACAGTATTGCATGTTGAGTATCGAAAGCAGCATTCAAAAAAGAGTCAGTTGTATTAAAAGAAAACGTGCAAATTTTCTCTAGAGACAAAACCCACAATTTTTCATATTACTTTGTATAGTTCTTTGTAAATTTCATGCATGAAAAATAATATTTAAAAATTTTTAATATGCATCATCGGATAGAGTTTGATGAGTTCTATGTAACCATGTATAACAATTTGAATTCTTAGGATTTGTCATGGATCAATGTCACTTCGAGACATATATACTGCCTCCCAAACTATTCACCGAGGTTTATTTTTAATTTTTTTTTTTTCTACTGTCGTAATTGTTCATAAGAATTCATAAATTAGCTTTTATAGAGAATTTTATTATTGAAGATGAAAATAATTGCAAGTTTTCCAAGGATAGAATATCTAAAAAAACCGAAACCAAAGTTTTTCTCAATGGGAATTCTATTAGATAGAGCAAACAATTTTCTAGAAAATGAAATGCCTTCTAGCACTTTATGACATTTTTTTAATCAAAATACATCAACTTGATGGAAGACACGAAAGTGGTTTTTTTCTGTGATTTCATATGGAACTATCATTGTTATGTCTTCCATACGATTAATGTATTTCGGCTAATAAATGATTTCAAAAGCTCGAAGACGTCTCATTTTGTAGGAAATCGTTTCCTCTATCATTCTGTGTAATTCAAGTCGAATTCTAGACGCTAAGAATCTTGGTGTGAGATCATTCAGAGATCATTATTTGAATTTCCTTTCGCGGTTAAGACGATACTAAAAACTGAATAAATAATTTTGAAAGTCAATGTATGTAACTTATTCGAAAGTTTAGTAGTTATACATTCTTTGGCGAAGTTTTACAATAAACGGTTATTCAATAATTAAGATAGAATCTGTCTGAAAGAATTATTTATTTCTTTTTCAAATATCGACAACTGAAATTCATTTTGTTCATAATATTGTAAGATTATTAGTCCTTGAATTATCATGTACGTTATATATTTTAGATAAGAGCTGATTGATGTTTGTTTCAGTTCACTTCTATTCACTTATATAGCGAAAAAATCTTGTTATCATCTAATTTATTTTGCTATAAATTTTAAACATATATAATTAAAATAATTGTATTAAATTCAAAGAACTGTAAATTTTTCATAAAAATTTTTTTTTTGCAAATATAAATTCTAAATATCTATTTTATTGAATACCAAATGAGATTTTCATAATTTCGATAATTTCCATTGATTTATATCTATTGAGCATACAACGGAAACAATTTTCTTTTTTGTATAGATGCAAGTTCCGTTTGTGGGGGTTATTCTGTTTTTCTTTTTTTTTTACAATCGATTAAGAAGAAATATTTCATTCTTCTATTTTTCTTATTGAAGTGATATATATATCAACAAAATATGATCATTATGAAAACAATCTATTCATTGTTTCGTTGTCTTAGCAAATGTTCTAGGAATACTCTTTCTTTTTTTTTGTTTTCTTCTAGACAAATACATTCTTTTCAATGAATTCATCTCAACAAACAAACATTCCTGTCGTTCTTATAACTGGTTTTGGTCCATTTCGTTCTCTAGCGGTTAATTCTAGTTGGGAAGTTGCTAAAGCATTAAAAACATATCTTGAATGGACAAGTCCAATATATATAATTCTTAAACAATTAGAAGTAACTTATGATGATGTAGCAACAAAAATACCCGATTATTGGATTAAATATAATCCAACAGTAAGTTTTTGTAAATATTTTCGATCATAAATATTCAAATATTTTTTTTTAGCTTGTTATTCATCTTGGTGTAGCAAAAGAATCAAAAGAAATTCGATTAGAAAGATATGCTTGTAATACAGATTATTGTCATACAGATAACAATGGTAGTGTACCAGAAATAGGACAATGTATTAAAAATGCTGTACCAAAACGATTAATGACAAGTCTTCCACTTCATGATATACGTGCTCGAGTACAACGTCGAACAAAGTTACCAATTATTGTTTCCGATAATGCTGGAAGGTAGAAAAACTATTATTGAAAAAAATAAAACATGTTTTCTTTTTTTTCTCCATTCTATTTAAGATACATCTGTGAATATATTTATTATCAATCATTATTTATTGATGCAAAACGTACAATATTTATTCATATACCAGATTTTGATAAAAATTTTACAATTGAAAATTTAGCTGAAACAATACAATTAATTATATATGAAGCACTTGGTTATGTTGATCCATTACCAATATTAAATCAAAATGGAAATTATATATAGTAAATTCCAATATGATTTCTTGTCGTAAATGAAAAATTTTCATTTAAATAAACTTTTCGAAAAATTTTGTTTTTTTTTTTTCGTCTTTTCATAGAACTTTCTCATTGTTTCTTTTTTTTTTCTTTTCATTTGTCTTGTTATATCAAATGAAAATAAAAAGAATTAAATTTCATCTTAAATGATTCACTTTGTAAAAAATGCATAATTAAACACATGCCGGAAATCAACACAAATCTTCAAAGATCAGTAAATTATTAATTTCTCAAAAATTATATTCTATACATAGCTTTTTGTATTGTCATTTAAAACATCATCATTGTCAAATACAAATTTTTTTTGAGAATACTCCTAGATGATACAAAAAAATGTTTAAAGTATAAAATTTTAATGAATGACAATGTTTTTAAAATTCAATCATCAAAATAAATAAGAAAAAATAACGTATGAAAGATTATTCTTTTCATTTAATGAACAAAATATATTTCATACCTTGTATTTGTTCATACATACGATTTATCGAAACGAGCAGTTGTCTGGATCTTTTTACTAGTGTGACAAGCGCCAAGATTTCAAGCTGATTCACTTGGCGGTTGAGGCAATAGTAAACAGACCAGAGTTCAATCATATTTGTTATATGTACATATATATACAAATGTTGTTTATTGGCATCGCTTGGTGTTACTACTGCAAAATACTGTAGATTATTTATTTTTCGACTACAGTACAAGACAATAGTAATATTAAGGAGCCTAGAATTTATATGTTTTTTTTTTTATTTTCTTAGTTTTTATTTAAAATGTTTAAGAGCTTCCTCTTTGTACTACGACATCAATCGTCACTCTATTGATAAGAATCTTGTGACAATTGAGGCAATAGTATGCAGAGAATACTCAATATCAATATCGATTATCAAGCTAAAATATATACATGAAATTCTAAATTACAAAAAAACAAAATGATTGTTGACACACAAAAAAACTAAAGTGTCAAAAATAATATGAATATCAACATCAAATAGATTGTCCATCACATAGCTCGTTTATATAGGATGTGTGAGAATTTTATGATATTTTGCAATTGTAATATTATGACATTAATAAACACATCTGTTTAAGTTAAATGATAAAAAACTTCAAATATTTATATCAATACAAGATCATTACAAAAACACAAAAAAAAAGAAAATTATTCAAGATTAACCTAATCTGCTCCTATTCATCTCATTTTCATATAAGTATCATCATGAAGAAGATAAGATTAAACTTAAATTATTGTTCGCACTTTCTAGACAAATCTATTTCGTAAACATATTCATATGTTTTCAAGTCTTATCCATTATTTCACTATCATATACTTATCTCTCTTCAATTCTTCATATCAAAAGAAAAAAAAAGACCATAACACTCAATCTATCAAAAACTATGAAAGAAATGTTTTATCAACAAGTCGTTCTTTTGTAAAATTATTACCAACCAAAATTCAACTTCTCATTATTCCATATTATTAAAATCAATGTTTCATCAAGTGTAAGGACGACTACATCGCAACGAATTCATCCTAAACCCGTTCGAGTCTGAAATTTTGTCTGTTAAACAACTCCGAACAAAACTCTAGGAATGGTGCTTCTCTGAAGATAGAGTTGACTCTCATAGAGTTTGTGATTATAGCAAACAAGTGCAATGCATCTATACTTCCAAAAAATCGTATTCACCCTTCCAGAATAGAAAAATCTATATAAAATACCAAATAAACCAATGAGAAATTGTAGTCGATTCAACTGTACAATTCTCTATCAAGTCTAGTATTATAAACTCCAAAAATTTTTACTAATGAATATTTAGTCTACTGCAGATATTGAAGAACGAACTTTGAACTGTACGAAATTATGTGTATCCATTCCATAATATATATATTACTGAAAAGATTTCCTACTTAATAAAAGCATTCAAAATCTCAACTAAATTTTGTTTTATAAAATTTGCGACTTTTTTTCCAATTTCTTAATATTTCCATAAAATAATCATACCAAATTACTTCAATATTGACTTTTCTAATATTTTCCACAAGTTCTTGAAATTATTCCAATTTCCAATACAATACGTACGTATATTTCCATATCAAACCAGAAAAACGAATCCATTCATTCATATTTTCTTTTACCTAGAAACTATTCTTCGAATTCTCAAGCAGCTGTTCGTACATTAACAAGTAGCTGCAAGAGGATCAAACTTTTATTTTATTTTATTCATATCAAAAGGAAATATGAAAAAAAGTGAAAAAAAAAATTTTCTACATTATCAAATGAATATTGCCGAGAATTTCATAATTATGTACACACGAATCATGTGAAGCTTATAAAAGCTAAATCACTGAGACGTATGGATACATATAGAAAATCTCTGTTGGCGATAATCCGCCTACCCAATCGAACAAAGCACCATAATCAGCTGTTGAATATTGAAAAACTATTTTTTTTTGTTGATCTAAATAAAATATAAAACAAAACAAACTTTTTAACCTTGAAAATAAGATTTAAAAGAAACAAACCTATGCCGATATAATTTACCTAGAGACGTCATTTCGAATGTCAACAAAAAAAAAAAAGTATAACACGTGTAAATAATATATATGGAATAAAGCCAAATTTATCTTTCAACAATCTTTTTACCAACATTTTATGCTCCGTAAATATTCAAATGAACGACGAGGTCATTCGAAAATGATTTATGGATAAGAAAACATATATATATATATATCCTATATACATTCTATATGTTGCTATATATTTATATATACATGTATGCATAAACGAACATATAGACGAGTATAAAGAAGGTTTCACCGCACGAGCGGTCGTCGGATAGAAAGAATAGAGAAAAAAGAAAGAAGAAGAAGGAAAAAACGATGCTATTCGTATAGGCCGCGATGATTTGATCATCTTGTAGTTGATGATGGTGATGTTGGCTGCAGACGACGACGAATTGTTACAATAAAGAATAGAACGAGGGTAAAAATGAGAGAAAGAGAGAGAGCGTGAGAGAAGAAAAAGAAAACTGAGATGAATCATAAAATGTTTCTCTCGTCGACGAAAAAGCATCTACACAGCAACAACATAACATACTTGTAATAATACTCAAGAAAAAGAACGAGGAAAAGCAAACATATTCGCCCCGCGTCCCGTCGGTCGCTATCATACTCAACAAGAACGAGAAGAAAGAACAGGGTTGTCAAGAGGATGCATTTTATAAAAGAAAAAGAAAAAAAAAAAAAAAGAATAAGTTCTGTGTATATTCTTTCTTTTTCGGTTAACCTCTATATGAATTGTACTTTTTTTTTTAAATATTATCATGAAAAATAATTCAATAATTATTTATTATAATAAAATAATGAAAGAATAACTTTTTTTTTTTTAATTAATATTTATATATTAACATTATTAATGATTGGTTATGATAGAAAACCAATAAAAATTTTTAAATTTATTTGATTCGTTCTTATTCTTATCCTATCATAAATTTATCAATTAAATTAGTTTGTTGATTTATTGTTGCTTCTCTTAGATGTTTATCAAATAATCTCATGAGTAGTAATTTATTAGAAAAATCAAAAGTATCTATCTGTCCTGGTCTATATTGTGGTTATCAAAATAATAGTACAAATTGTGGGGTGAGATATATATATATATATATATTTTTTTTGAAACAAAATATTGAATTAAAAAAAAAAAACTATTAAGGGTTGTCAACGTGGATATCGTGTAAATAATGAAAAAATATGTCAATTATGTAATGAACCATTATCATTGTATAATTTTATGTACATCATTTTTATGGCATTATTGGCATTAAGTTTTCATTGGTATTGTATTAATCGTTTACGAAAAAAGAAACAACGAGAATTTACTTTTGTCAAGTATGTTTGATTAGTAAAACATTTAATCTTGTATCAAAGAAAAACTAAAAGAATTAAAACCGTCCTAGTAATAGATCTTCTAGTTGTAGTAAAAGTCAGATCACAGTGAGTTTCGTTTTTTTCTCCTTTTGAATCACCACTTCTAGTACTTCGATTTTCGATGTCTTTCATCTATAGAAAATATCAACACTATAACGTTTTAAAAATAACTCTGAAGTTAATTGATTATGGACTAACATCGATATCTATAGCGTGTAGAAGAGGACAAATGGTCACAACGATATATATGTTACACTTATTTGTATGTATATACTATGACCTTTTAGTTATGGGAGTTAAATTTATCCGCATAACAGCTATATACGACATGTTTATAGCGAAAAGAAAGATGTGCACCTACTAGTGAGAAATTAAAATTGATGCTGATTGTTTCAATGGAACTAATAAAACAAATCATTTTCTCTATATGTAAGTCTATCGTAAATAACATTTACATTTAATGAATATGAAAAAATAAACAAATAAGTTTTTAAATGAATTAAAAAAGATTAATTGTATATTGTTCAAGTTTCTTTTATTGATTCTAAGTAGATGAGAAAAATTATGATTATAAGCTGTAGGTCGAGTTTTTTTTTTGTGGCTTCGCACCGTCTCTTTGTGTCTAAGTAATCAGAATAAAATGTCATTGGATATAAGTCTTCTTCTAGTAATTGAAGACAACAACTACTAGACTTCTTTTGTATATATTCTCAACAACGGAAATACATGTTGAACGACTTATTCTATTCTAGAACACTTCAAAGTCATACTTGATATTCAAATCGTTAGAATACATTTCATGCTTTGTAAATAGCACAATTTATAATATGTTCTATAGATAAACAATTATATGATAAATATCACGACTGATAGTTAATAATGTAAGACTTTAGCATAGATGTTATATGACATATATAAAAAAAGCATGAATTGATCAAGTTATAACTTTCAGAAATAATCAACGTTAAGATTTTGTTCTATTTCAAATACAAAACTAAATAAGATAGTTTGTATTTCTCTGATAATTGATAATTATTCTTCATCAGCGATTGTCATTTCTTAGAAATAGTGACGCAACCAAGATTTTTCAGTATGTATAATCTCGACTTTTGAGTATGGGATCAAGATGAAACTTATGGAAGTTGATGTTGGATCTAAATGATGGAATATTATCAAAAAAAATTTTCACTTGGAGTTTGCGAAAAAAGTTTTTGATAATATTCCATCATTTGGATCCAACATCAACTTCCATAAAGTTTCATCTGGATCCCATACTCAAAAGTCGAGATTATTCATACTGAAAAATTCTGGTTGCATCACTGTTTAGCAAGTTGATTTCTATTTAGACAGACAATTCTTTATTTTCTATCCATATTGGAAATCATTGTTGCGTTTATTTTTACATTATTAACATTTCCACCAATTGGTAAATTAACATTTAATACATGTCAAGTGAAATTATTCAGTGATTTTTATCCAATATTTCATAATCCAATTGTAAATTATCGAAAAAAATTACGATGTTCATATGAAGTTGTTTATCCATTGTATGTATAAAAAAGATCATTTTTGTTATTCTAACAAGAACATTTTTTGTTTTTTTTTACTTCATTTAGACAAAGTGCAATTTTTGTTTTATATACATATGCAAGTTTAATTATGTTGTTCATAAGACCATTTTTTATTTTCATAATTCATCAAAAATTTATTTCAGCATCAATTTATAGTGCACTTCATTTTTATCCATGTTTACTTGTGTTACATGCTTTATGTGGTGGCCTTATTTGTAAGAAATAAAAAATAAAATTTTTTTTTTTTTTTTTTGTAGATTTGATCTTTTTTTGTTTGTAGATTTTTCTTTTCCAATTTTAACAATTACTAGTTCTATACTTCTAAATGCTATTCATTTTACATTCATAGCTAATGGTGAAAGTGAATGGATTCCATTTTTACGAAAACTTTGTGGAAATATTCAAAATTGGATTATTTATTTTATACATATTATACTTCTTCTATGTGGTGTAATTAGTTTAACACAAGTTGAAAATGAATATCATTTTATGTTATTACCTATTGTTTTTCTACCAGGTTTATTGTATATTTTATTGTATAAATTTACAGGAACAAATACAATAAGACCGATAGGAAATTAATATTTCAAAATAAAATAGGATATATTATTTAATGTGTATTCTGTTTTGTTTCTTTTTTTGCTTTGTTGTTTATGTTATATACATTTTTTTTTAGATGGTTACTGATCTTATTAAAATTCCTTGTGTAAGGAATTTCGTTTTTCGTGACCATCTACAATCGTATCCTGAATCAATAGCTAATATTACTTTGCATAATGTTATTATTACAAATAAACAACCCGATGGAAATTATAAAGAACTATGGGTAAGATAATTATTTTGAGGAACGAAAAACAAAAAATCTATTATATTAAAATGATTCTATAGATATTTTATACTAATATGGATGCGATTCAACCAAAATTTCCAATGAAAAATGAATTTCGCTCACAATTAACACCTTCACCATCATTATCTTCCACTTATACAATTATTCTTCGTCTTAAAACATTAGAAACATGTTATTTTGACATTCCAGTTTTGGACGATGCAATCAAATTAGCTGAATCATTAGATGCACTTATAGCAAATACAGGTATATCAGATAGATAAATTATGAGATTTATTTATTATAAAATCATTTGATTTGATAATAGAGAAAATACTTGAGGCATATCAAAAGTAGTAGCAATAGTACTATAATACTTTATAAAAGATAATATTAGAATATTGATTCAGAGAAAGATGAGAAAAACTTTTGCTTCTACATTTAAGTCTGAAGTATACTATAAGTTTTTTTTTTCAATGGCCAGGCTTCACTTCTCAGAACAGTTGAAAGATAACATATATGCTTTCGTGAAGGATCAGAAGAGGTTGAAAACAAAGAACGATCTACTACACTAGCGATTAAGAGCTGTTTCGATATATAACGAACAATAATCTTTTTCAGTTCACAATGACTTAGATCAGAATGTGTTCGTAATTTGTCAATGATCACATAAGGATTATCATTAATAAAGCAATGAGTCTGTTTGATTATAGATCTGTCGGATTTTGTGATATTTTCACAAAGCTATTCACATTATTTTTCAACTGTTCTGAGAGATATTATAGTAGAGATTACAAACCGAAGAATTGTGAACTTTTATAGGATTATATCTCACTACTTGAACTATCATTATATATGTCTTGAGAAAATTTTCTCGAGCTTTCTACGCGTTTTAGTATGCCCTAAGTATTAGATGTTTCTTTGTTTTTTTTTAGATGGATCAATTTGTGATGTAACATTTTTATTTCCATTTTGTTTTCCACGTGATTTTGAAGTTATTCAAGATGGTTGGACAGCATTTTCTGTCGAATCTGAATTTAGTCGTTTACAAGCCATTAGTGATGAATGGCGTATTAGTGATATTAATAAAAATTTTGCTGTATTTATCCTTTTTTTTTTCTAAAATTTTTATACTTCTATAAAAAAAGAAATTTATCATTTAGATCTGTGAAACTTATTCCGAACGATTAGTTGTACCAAAATCAATAACCGATGATTTTCTTAAACGTTCAGCAAATTTTCGTAGTCATGGTCGTTTTCCACTTTTATGTTATTTGCATAAATCATCAAAATCATGTATTATTCGATGTGCACAACCACTTATTAGTTCAAGTGTACGACGTTGTAAAGAAGATGAAGCACTTGTTAATTCAATGCTTACTCAACGTCATAAAAAAGGATGGATACTTGATACACGACATCCAAATATAGTAAAACTTGCACAGAGTAGAGGTAAAAAGATAATTATTATTTTTTTTTTTTTGATTCTTATTAATTTAATTTCAAAAGGTGGTGGATGTGAACCAGAACAACATTATGCACTTTGGAAACGTCTTCATCGACATTTAGATAAATCTAATGTTTTACAAGAATCATTTATGAAATTAATGGATGGTATAAGAAATAATATTTTATTCTAAAATATTATTTTATTTGATATTTAGCATGTATTGATCAATCTGATAAAGATCGTTGGTTATCAAAATTAGATAATAGTAATTGGTTACTTCACGTTAAAGAAGCATTAACAGTAGCATGTATTATTGCTCAAACAATTGATTGTGAAGGTAATAATTAACAAAGAAAAAAAAAAAACTATTAGTAATAAATACAATTCGTATTTATTTAGAAACATCAGTTCTTGTTCATGGTAGTGATGGATGGGATACAACATTATTAGTAACAAGTCTCGCTCAAGTATTACTTGATCCTGATTGTCGTACAATAACAGGGTATAAAGAAAAGTGTTGGATAGAAATAGAAAACTAAGTTGTTTTTTTTTTATTTCTTACTTTTATTATAGTTTTGAAGCATTAATTGAACGTGAATGGATTCAAGCTGGACATCCATTTCGTTTACGTTGTACACGATCAGCATTTGGTAAAAGTATTCATGGACAAGAATCACCTTTATTTACACTTTTTCTTGATTGTACTTGGCAAGTAAGAGAAATTTTATTAGAATTTTCTTTTTTTTTTTGGTATTGATTAAATGCATTCGAATTTTTTTTTTTGTTCAAGCTTTTACAACAATTTGCTTGTTCATTTGAATTTAATGATACATTATTAATAGAATTATTTCAACATGCTTATTCATCAAAATTTGGTAAATAAAAATTTTTATAGTATCAAAATTTTTTAATCATATTGAATTTGATAGGAACATTTATATTTAATAATGAAAAAGAAAAAATAAAATATGATGGTATTAAAAAAACAGTTTCACTTTGGTCTTATTTTAATCGACCAGAAATACTTCGTACATTTTTAAATCCATTCTATGAACCAAATATAAATGTTTTATGGCCAAGTGTAGCTGCACAAAGTATTGTAAGTTGTTCGAGATATATAAATATTTTTTTTTTTCTTAAGAATAACAATAAAATCTACTGATAGGTTCTCTGGCGTAGTTTATATCTACGATTTTATGAAAATCAAACGCCTCAACATGAAGCCTGGGATGAATATTTGATCATTAAAGAAAAAGAAATACAACTTCGTTCGTATGTCAATAAATTAAGACAGTAAATATATATAGAAAAATTTTACATAAAATAATCTATAATTGTTTTATTTTTCTAGAGAATTACTTGAACTTGAACGAAAGTGTACAGAAAAAAATAACAATATGATTAAGATAGAAAAAGATTCAGTCACAACAACTTAAACTAATTTTGAGAATGTCTTCCTTCTTTTGTGTTTCTTTTCTTGATTTTATTATTATGATTATTATTTTTCTCCCCTCGATATTTATTATTATTATTATTATTATTATTGATCAATCAATCATAGTCGACCTTGTTCTAGTGATTTTTTTTCTGTTTTTTTTTCTTTTTTGTATATTTGTGTGTTTCATTATTATCGAGAACAAATAAATCTATATACATATATCATGTAAAATGAAATCTGTCTATCTTTATGAAAGAATAATCAAATGTTCTTCTTGACTTTATATTCTATGTTGAGTCATAAAATATATACATATGGTTGAATGTTTTTACAAGTAGAATAGAAATAAAAGAGCATGAACTTGTCCCGCTGTAGGGCGTCCTTCACTAATTTGTGTCCAGCCAGTACACTTGTTCATCGTTTCTTTTCTTCTTTTGTTTTGTAATATAAGAGGATGCAAGTAATTGTACAACTTACTACAGAATACCATTTCCTTTCGACTCATGTGATGATTTGTGGTACTTTATATGTACTTTTTATGTTGAGGATAGAAATAAAAAAAAAAAGAAGAAAAATTTCTACCTTTAAGGTTATAATCGAAAAAGAGGGAGGAGAAAGAAGAGGTCTTTTTTTTAATACTCATATTTCTTCTTCTATCGGCCTTCATTGTATGAACAGTGTGTGTGTGTGTATACTCACAGATTATTTAAGAACATTTAGTTTGATTAACGTTGCTATCTAACAATTGAGATGCCACGTGAACACGTCGAATGGTTTATGAAGCAATCAGTACATGATAGTGATAAAATACATGCTCAACAAAGTTGTACTTATTATTCAATTGTAAATGTCAACAAAACAAACAATCCATATTTGAGTTCTTATGAACAAGAGCAAACATGGACATTAACACGAACAATATCAAATAATCATAAACGATATCAATCATCAATAGAAAATATTCATTTAACAATGCCTATTTCATCATTAAAAACAAAACATCCTGATTATGAAAATATTAATATAAGAAAAGACCGATCCACTTCACTTTTACCGTCAAATAGATATCCGTCATCATCATCATCATCACGTCATTCTTCTGCTACTACAATGAATTCAATGATGCATCAAGAACAACAAATTTTACCAATAACCAACAGTAATTCAATTTTAAAACACTCACTATCATTAAGCAAACCTATGCGTACATTTCCTACTAATGGCAACTTTGTTGTACGAATTTAAACAATGACTTATTTTTTTTCTATTGAATTCATCCAAACAAAAACAATTGATTTCTTTTTATCACACAAATGGAGTATGATTATTGTAGAATTTTATCCTAATACACTGTCTTCTTCCATTTTTTTTCTTGTGCATTAAAACAAAAATAAAACTATATGTGCCTTACTTATATTCCTTATATAAACTTCTTTGTTTATATTATAAGCATAATTTTACATATTACATGGAAATAGATTTACTTTTCATATTAGAACCGCGTGATCAAACGTTATGAAATTTCAAAAAGTGAAACAATTATGTTTATTACAAAATCTTATCTTTTTTTTGTCGAAAATCAGTTTCGACCAAAATGAAAACAAAAAATAGATTTTTATTACCAACATCGGATTCCCCATCAAATGATGCATTTTCCACTAGAATCTAACAAAAAAAGAAAATTTTCAAAAAAAAAAAACTAAAAATTGAAATTTCGATTTGAAAAATACACCGTTGTTTTTTCAGAACGCTTAATGATCTAAAAGCATCGTAAAATTCGAATACTAATGAAATTCTGTATTGTATTTTTTCTAGTAATTGAATGTGTTCGGTCGAACTTGTCGAATTCTATCTGAAGATCTTGTTGCAAAAATTAGCAACATAAGCTAACAAGATATATAATAAGAGAGTTTCATTATAGAATTCATCAAAAATAGAGATGGTTTTTAAACCTTTTATTTTGATTCGTAGACATCTATCTAATATTTGTACGAAAATCATATGTTGAAAGAATACATTGTATCCGATCGATCCTTGTTTGACGACTTATTTCACTATCATCTTTTACATAAATTTTCGAGCTGCCTTAGGAATAGACACACTTCCATTTCAAATACAACCGATTGCAAACATTTGGTTAAGTCTATTGTTGATGAAAGAAAAATCTTACGTAATTCTATTGTTTTTGAAAATTTTCCCATTGAAAATCAAATTATGTGTTTTCTTTAAATAAATAAATCAGAGATTAAGAAATCTTGACAATAGCGGCCTCTGTATGTCTTTCACTGGGTAGATTGGTTTCTTGAAGTGAGTAAAGATCAAAGCAATGTTTCCATTGAATGAATCTCATTTAATGTAGTCTATGATGATATTTGCATGACTCATCAAAGTAATGTCAAACTCAAAAACCACTACTACACTTAGAATGAAACTTATTTTGAAAAGCTGATATTTATCATCATATGATATACATCATTAATATGGATTATTTATAATACTAAATTCTTCTGATCGACTAAACTTAAAGAATTGACTTTCGTTAGATCTCATGTCTTTACATTGTTCTCAAGTATAGTCTTGTCACAACATCACTGTAATGTAGCGTCATCCTTCATGTAAAACTCATCTTTTCTAAAAATAAAATATAAGTGTCAATGTATTGTCTTATTTAATATATTTTTATTAAAATTTCTTTTTTTGATATTTCAATAGATCTAGATGTCTCTGTACTCAGTGCATTCGAGATTGATTCGCATTGTTTCATCGTAATTTATATCGTCAGTCAGATCACATACTAGTCGACAACAACTCATTTTGAACGAAGTTCATGTCATCTTCACATTGTTTGGGTAAATCTCGAGATTCTCGACGAGAACGTGTATCAATTCGTCGAGCAACTGTATCTAATCTTGCCAATGGAAGTCGAGGTAAAACTACTTTCAATATCTTACATCATTTAAAATCAATATTATTTTAGAAATACATAGTTTAATCGATGCTGTCAATGCTCAAGATTATGATCGAGGTAAATATTAAATTATTGAATAATTTAATCTTATTATACTATGTTTTAGTCCTTGATCTACTTCAATCAGATGTTGATCCACGTACTGCTGATAAATATGGTCGTACTCCATTGCATGTTGCTTCTACAAAAATAAATGCAGCAATAGGTAAATTTTAAGAAAACTAAAACATCAATGAATAAAATCTATTTGTTATTTCTTTTAATTAGTAAAAACACTTATTGATCATGGTGCCGATGTTAATGCTGAAGATTCACTTGGTAATACTCCATTACATTTAGCTTGTATTAGTAGTCGATTAGCAATTGTTGGTGTTCTTCTTCGTGCTGGTGCTAATTTGTCATCAACAAAAAGTCAAACAACACCATTAACAAATGCATTAAGTCGTTTACAATTAATGATGAATGAAAAACGAACAATATCATCACCAGATTTAAAAGCTGAAATTATTGAAGTATATGAAAATATTTTTTTTAAGTTCTATTTTTGAGTCTTTCTTTTTCTTTTTTTCTTTTAATAGTTAATTCGTTTACTTAAAAATCGTACATTACAAACAAATGAAAATAATTCTATATCAAATCTTTGTAAACAATTAGAAAATTTAAATTCTTCATCATTTGAAGATTCTTCTTTAGATCTTTCTCTATTTTCTAATTTGACAATTTCTATATATAAAAATATACAATTCTAGATAATTATGCCAGCTAAAAAGAAACATAATGATGAACAACAATCAACAACAAAAACACTTTTTCTTATTCGTCATGGTCAATCAATTGCTAATCGAGATTATGATGAATCAAGTGCTTATCGTGATGCTGGCTTAACTGAACAAGGCTTTGCTCAAGCAAAAGCTTTACAAAAAGAACTTGAAGAATTACAAATTGATCTTGCTATTGTTAGTCCATTAACACGAGCACTTCAAACATGTCAAAGTGCTCTACCAACATCATATTCAGGACCCATTCTTGTTCTACCAGAAGTTGCTGAAATTTGTTCATCACATTATAGTTGTGGTCAAAAACGTAGCGTTATACAACCAAAATTTCCTAATAGATTTGATTGGTCAAATGTTCCAATAGATGATATATGGTGGTGGCCATATGATCAAAAACATTGTAGTGAAACAAATGATTATCAACGAAAACGTATAGAAAAATTTCGTCGTTTTATTCAAGAACGACCTGAAAAACGTATTGCAGTTTTTTCTCATGGTGATTATTTATGGGATTTTTTGGAAGGTAGAAGACCATATCCAGCTAATTGTCAAGTGATACCATATAAAATTTAACAGATGTTTTTTTTTTGTTATTAAATATAGTCAATAAATATACAACCTTTTAATTTAATAAAAAATAAAAATTTATAGAGAACATCACAATGCAAGATAGTCTTGTATACATATTCATATCAATGTTTGAATACAAAAATTATTGGATTACAAATAACAAGAAAGAAAATCTGTCCACAAAAGAGATGTATACTAAAAGTATAAGTTTTTTTTATGATATATTGTTGCAAGGAAAAAAAAAGCATGATTAATTTCTATGTTTTATGAGTTTGCATAAAGTCTATACTTCTAACTTAATAAAACAACTGATAAGGAATGTTGTCTAAGTAACAATAGAACGAAAGAGAAAAGTAGGAAGAAATGCTTGAAGAAGATTAATTGTATATATATTTGCTAGATACAATCTTTTATCAAGTATTTTACGTGACGAAATTATAGCGGACATCAATAGTATAGTATAGAATGCCTTCGAATTCATTAGAAGCACGAAGACGTAATCGTCGTCGTCATCGACAACCAAAAGAAAGTTTACGGTCTAAAGAAATTGAAACAATAAAACTTGATGATATACCATCGCCAGTAACTTCAAATAAATTAACAATAATTCGAAGTGAAAGTCTATCGTCCGAAGAAATTGAAATAATGAATATTAATGAAACACTATTGCCAGCAAATAAAAATAATACAACAACTATTGTTATTTCACCATTTGTAGAAGTATGAAAAGATTATAAGAAAAATTTGTTTTTTTTTTAGAAATAATATTTTCAATATTTAAGGATGATGAAACTGAAGAGGAATCACCATTGATAAAAATTATTGAAAAAAAAGAACGAAAAGATTGGTAAATATTATTAATTAATAAATCATTGTTATCTAGAATATTTTGTTCATAGGGCTAAATTTGTTGCACCTGTAGAGAAAGATCAAATAGAACGAGTAAATAAAATGATCTTTATTGTAAGTAAATTGATTTAAGATTTATTTTTGTATATTCATAGAAAAAAGAATCAGTAACAAGAAAATTAACAAAATTTTTTTCGAAAATTCCATCACCAATTGGATTTTTACTTGATTTAATCGAACGTAAGAAATAAAAACAAAGAAAATCAAACGAAATGTTCATAATGATTTTATTTGATTTTTTTTTTATATTATAATCAGATCGTCATGGTTTTACAATACGTTCTTATTTTCAATTTGTTGTTTGGTTATTTTATTTAAATATTTTTACTTTTATTATTTGTTTTACATGTATTGTAATGCCAACATTTATTTATCCAAATTCAAAAGATTTTTCAACATATGCTATGGATCGATATTATCAAACAAATAATATTTCAATGCATAATCAATCGTCTGACCAATGTACTTTAAATGATCCACAATGTAAAATTCTTAATGAACCATTTTTAAATCAAATCAATGATTCAAATGAAACATGTTTGAGTGATTCATTTTTGGCTAGTAGTTGTTGTTCATTACATGCCGAAGCATATTTTGTTAATTCATCACGTGAAAGTGAAAGTGATCGAGCAAAATACTTGAGTGATCTTATTGCTGGAACAGTACGTATGAACTTTAATTATTATATCTAATTAGTTTTCTTATTGTAAGACTTTCTAGAATTTTCCAAAGCATTGTATTCAATAAAAATCTCTACTGTAGATTCTACCTAATCTAAATAATATTAACTATAAAAATGATTATAATTTTTTCTTCAACACTTTGATCCTTTGTGAAGTTACACTGACAAGTTCTTAATTTTAATTGTAGGGATTTTTTGCTCTCAATCGATTATTTATTGGTTATTATCGAAA